GACGAGGCTATCGGCTCCTCGCGATGTTGAGTTGGGCAGAGGTGGAGGAATGAAGGAGGAAGGGAGAGGAGGGAGACCGCCTGAGCGTGGTGACAGGCAGAGGTGGAAGGATCGACTGTGGGTGAGGGAGGCGCCTTGGTTTGCTCAGGCCGCTGGGCCATATCCAGTCAGACGTCCAGGAAAATCCCCTCCTTGTCGCCTGCGGCGAGTACAAGCTGGAGAATCGGCGCGTCCTGGCTGCAGACGTTGTTGGCTCCCAAATCCAGATTCCCAGTGCGAGACCCTCGGTGGAGAGAGGGGTGGGATCCGATAGGGAAAGGAGGCTGCATCAATTACGCTAGGCTCCAGTCCGGGCCTTGCTGACTGCGATGGGGTGGGTAGCACGTCTGCGGCCAATGAAATGAAGGTGTGGAGGTGGCACTCGCTGAGGCCGCCCATCTTGACATGGACCAGGCTAGATTGCGAAAAGCGACACAAGGCCAAAATATGCATTTGTCCATGTCTGCCTCGCTCACAAAATCATAATACCAGTCATGCAGTCTCGCCAGCCGAGGTTGCCTTGATGTTCATGCTTGCATTCGCTACCATCCAGTGACTCTTTGCGACGTTCAGTCAGGTTCGCATTTATTCCTGTCTGGCCCTCCAGGACACGAGAGTCAGGCTCCGTTCCGTCTGGTCTTGGATGCCTTGCCCAGGAAGCGTCGGCACCTTGGTCAGTTGGGGCCGTGCGCCCACCACAACACAACGTCACGCCCGGCTGGCGATATCCCACAAGTTGTCAGGCGGATTGGATGCCCCTTGAGAAGGATGGTGTAATTGCGCATGTTGAGGGATGAATGGCCTGTGCCTATAACGGTCCGCTGCAAGAGCATGAGCCCGCACACATGCCACTCTCGAAAGACATGGGCACTTTCACGCCGCAACCTTTCGAATAACAGGCTGACCCGATCGACATCTCCTTGGCCTCGTCGGCATTCACTGTCACACCTGCAGGTTCCAATAACGTCCCCCAGGATGGCCTGTGCGCCCGACGACCCCGTGTTTCGCGATCAAAAGGGCAAGACTTGGCGCGCTTTACCGCACATGATTGGTTGGTTGGTTGAGATGTTTCCCAGAGGGAACAGGGGTCTAAGGATTTTGCATGCGCAGGCACCAGGAGAGAAGGGGAGGAACAGGGAGGGATCGATGGTAGGCAACCCGCAACGTCGGGTACCGCATTTGCCCGGCCGTCCCCCGGAGGCTAGCCGTATCGATTATTTAATCAATTCTGCAAACCGAGTGGACACATGCAGGCAAATTCAGGGGATCACAAACACCCAGAGTGAACACTGGTGTCTCTGTGCCCTGCGCCTGTCTGTGTGTAGCTTGGTGCCCGTGAAGTAGAAGCACTTGCTAGGTCCGATCATGGCTCGACATCAGCGTAACGCTTGTTCGTAGCAAACATGGGCAACGATTTATCGCAAAGGCGAAGAGCGTGCCGGGTGGGTGTCGTGCTTGATCCCCCCCTACACGGGAAATATGGCAGACAACAACCCAAGGGCACGCAGGACGCAGGCTGCCGCGCAGGTGCCGTTCGGGCTCCATCGCGGGCTTTCCAGCCCCGGCCCGCCCGACGGGAGCACGGTTTTCTCCCTTATCGATAGCCTCAGGCGGCCGCTGTCGGTCCCTCCCGTCCCCCGCCGCGCCACTCCCACGACGCCTGGGCCTGCCCAACTTGGACGACCCTGCCTCACTCCTTCCAAAATTCTCACAGATGTGACGGAGGGCTGAAAATTCTCCTTCTCTTGGAGGTGCCCTTCAGCCCTCAGGATATTCCTATCGCTGCTCGGCAGAGACGCGATTGCCGACAAGCCAGAAAATCTGAAAGCCACGAAATTTCAATCCGTCAGACGCCACGTCCCGTTGTGCGATCTTCTCAACCTCGAGTACTCCTCCACCTCGACATCGACACCGGGCGAAACTTGCGCCGCGACGATGGCCATGTCTGTCATGCCGTCGACCATGTCGGCCCTGGTCAAGCGAAAGCTCAATCCGCAGTCCGGCCCCGACGCCGCCAACAAGAGACAGCGGGTTGGCAACACAGGCCCGCAGCCGGCACCGGGCCTCCCGTCCGAACCCCACGAGTCCCTCCTCATGGAGCTCCGTCCCAAGTACGACGTGGCCACCTTCTCCGTGATCTCGTCGACAAGCATCGCCAAGCGCATCGACCAGATCCTCGCGCACCTCGGCCGCTTCCACCCCATCGACATGGCTGTGCTGCCAGGCGTCGTCCTCATGCACGCGAGGTCCCGGGACGCCGCCAAGATGGTATCGGTCACCGAGCTCGTACGGAGAAGAATACACGACGGCGGCCAGAAATGGTATCAGTACAACAGAGTCTACGAGGTTGAGGTTGGGATGCCCGAGGAAGACACAGTTATCGAGGAGACGGTCGTACTGGGAGCACATCGGACAAACGACCAGACCACACGGAGCCGAGGTGATGGAGACAGTGACGGTCGCCTGGATGGCTCACCTGCAGACTCTACCCCGTCGGTATTCGAGCGTGCGGTCCTCGGGCAGCCAAAGTCTGGCCAAGCTCTGTACATGAGTATCTTCCTCTCTCGTGTTCCGATATCCGAGCTTCGCGCCAAACCCTTCATAACCGCGCAATCGAACTCAGACTCGATCGATCAACAGCGCAGACGGCAATATTGATACTTGGGTCGAGATATCCTGCGAAATGTCTGAAGAGGAGTTGTTGTTAAGATGTCAGGAACATGGGGGGTACGCAACCTCGCCCGGATTCCCTCAATCGAATCTCGCACCGCTTCGGATACGGAGTCGCCGGTGGTCACGCATATGGGCTGATAAAGTGGAAGGGGTTATCAAGGCGCTCTGGCTCTGGCTACACGGAGAATATTCTTTTACGTTGACATGTTATAGACACAATGATACCCTATCCTACTCGTACCCCGTCGCTTCACTGCAGTCCCATCTGATCTATCCCACATACATGACCAGAATTCCCTTCACCGGCTGCCACCTTTTCATCTTTGCGTTTTCTCCATAACTCGTCCTCAAACCGGTACCTATGGCTCAGAGAACCGGCAAATCCTTTGCATGAACTCGCGTTTGACGCATCATCGCACGTCACGATGGAATCATTGCGGTGTGTTCCCAAGATAGTACCAGGCATTCAACCAAGGAACCGCCAACTGCAGGGTGTCTTGACCGTTCCGGAACCGCGTAGGGCAGTAATGACTAGCAACGAGCGCATGTATCCAACTCGAGGGTGACGGCGGATCCCGGAGAGCGCTCCCTTCGATAGCTCGCAAGCCATTCAGGGCTGCTTCGAGTTGTAGGATATGCGCAGCACGAAGTTGACGATGACGGCCAGGAGCAGGACGATGGCCAGCAGGGTAGGGCCAACCCTATCGTCGAAGCCGCCCTGTCCCCTCCTGCGAATCGACCTTGCTCGCCAATGGTATGTGGCGAGTGCGTATACCATTGTCGCCATGGCGACAAAGGTGAAGAAGAAGGATGAGATAAAGGCCGGGCGATCACCAAAGTTCAGCATGCCGATAGCGAGAGCGCCGAGGACCACGGTGAAGTTGAGCCATGACAGGAACGTGCGCTCGTTGGCGAAAAAGACCTTGGGCTCGACGCGGGTGGGAAGGGCGATGCGCTTGCCTATGTTGTGTTCTCAAACGTCAATTAGGATATCCAGGGCGGGAGATGGCCGGAGTTTCTCGACTGTTGCTGTACTTACCCGGCGCCGTTTGCAGAAGTGGCTGGCTCGACATTTTCACCTAGAATGCTTGGTATGAAATATAGCCGAGGAGAATGGAATTTGGGTTGAACAAACGGTATACAAAAGAAGCAAAAAGAGATTGTGGAAGAGAGTGTTCCCCAGTGGGTGGACGGGCGGCCTGCTGCTCCGTCAGTTGATGCTGATGTTTCGGCGATTGGCGCGCGGCGGTTCTGGTGCCAGGAAAAGTTCGAGAGCAGCGAGCGCGTTTTGGCCTTCATAAGCAGCTTCCCACGTTTGTTTTGAAGAGGTGGAGAGGGACGAACAATCGATGCCAACCCAAGGTAATTAATTACGCTCGAACCCAAGATACAACCGTTGCCCTGCTCTGGCACGACCGTGTGTCGCCTCTCCACTTGGACCCGAAAAGCTCTTTCTCACTGGTCAATCGTGGGTGCCCGTCGGCAGCTACTGTCGCGATCCCTGCTCGTCAAAGCTTGCCTCTCGCTTTGGAAGAGAGGCACGTGGGCGGTTTCATTGGTCGAGAGTCAGGTTGCTCACGTGCCCCACCGATGCGCCGCGCCCGCGCAGGCCCGCATTGGGGCTCGTCGGTCTGCATACCTAGCGTGCACGGACCCTTCGAAGGAAGGGCCAGCCTCTGATGTTTGTTGACTTTGCATCGCGTGCGCTTCAGCTGCCAACAGGAAGCCGCAATTCGGAGATCGGACCTCAGCCTCGCCAAAGACTCAACGTCCAAACGCCTCGCCGCCCACACGACTCTGATATCCTACGACAAGTAAGGCGCTACTTTGTCCGAATCCAGCAACGTTTCCACGCTCTCGGTTTGCAAATCTAATCTTAGAGTCTTTCCTAACCCCTTAAAGCAGTCACTCCCCGGCAGGACTCAGTCTCGGCTTCCACAACCAAGCTTTTTGTGCTCTATCGCCACCATGGCTGCTCAGGGCCCACCCGTACGGATTTTCTGACGATCCCTCCGTTGGAGATTCTTCGGTTTTGGCGCTGGACGAGGCTGACACGGCGCGATTACGGATAGCCCATCCCTACCAACCGCCTGAAGCAAATCGCAAACGACGTAATATTCCCTTGCCCACAACCCTCAGGACTCTGTCCAACTACCCGCTCAGATGACGCTGACAGCATTGTACACCAGGCCTGCCACGACGCTATAGGTAGCGCCGAGTTCTACGACCATGCGAAGACGGAGCAGTGGAACTCGCAGATCATCGTGCGTGCCTCACCGCCCTTCGGGGTCAACCACTAAGAACTACGCCGCCCGCACACTCCGGGCAGATGCTGACAACTTCAATACCTTACCGGGCGTCATGATGTACAGAACTCGATACTCAAGGCCGTGATTGCTGAGTCCCAACCCTCGGGCGGCAGCACGCCGTTCAAGTTTGCCGTCAACAGCACTATCGTCCAGCACCTCGTCCCGACCTCGAAGCTCAATAAGCCCACCGGCGGTGCTGCAGCCTCGGAAGAGTCGTCTACGACTGCGACAAGCACAGATGGCAAGCCCCACGTCGGTCGGCGCGGCATGCACAGCGCCACGGGCGCGTACTGGAACGACAAGACGGACGGCATGTGGACTTTCAAGTACGAGGGCGACGAGTCCAAGGGCATGGATGTCATCGTTATGCTGGTCTGGATTGGCATATAAAAGGAGAGTGGACCGCACTGACGAATATATGAAAACATGCTGTTTGCGCGCGCCGTCGACACCCAGGGCTGGCCGCACTGGATGACCAACTTTGTCTAGCTAGGTGCCTAGGTATAGTATACCTGGTTTTCTTTTGCTACCTATATGATAACGCCCATTTCTCAACATATGGCTCCTTTTCATCGCAGTGCCGCAGTCGGCTGCTATGATAGATTCGCAGGACACGACAGCGAAGCGAGAAGGCGACCCGAACATCATAATTTTCCCGGTCATTCTGGTTCATCGGTGATCCGTAGATCCAGCCTAGTGCTGCGGATGTCCAGATGACTTAAGCAGAATCCGTCCCGAATGACAGAAGCAAAGCATGGGCTTACGTCCAGGTTTACTTGGTGGTTTCGAATATATTGCCTTTTTTCCTCCCATCTAGAGTGTCGAAAGCTTGTGCGTTTAGTTTCCCATACCCTCGAGATCGCATAAGTATACGTTCCCACTTCCCATCCCAGTAATATAATAATAATAGTAGGTGCCTACCAGATAGGCACCAGTTGCAGAGTTTAGTACTACCATTGTGTTTGTGTTATTTGCTGCATATGATTATACCATCGTGATGAATTCATTCGCCTACATGGATAGTATCATAACGATAGCGACAGAAAACGATATGTAGTGCATAGGTGTGATCCGTCTGTGTCCATCACTCGCGTGATACCAGGGATAGGCTGATGGCATGTTCGAAACACCAAGCATTGCCAGATGCCCCACCTGCTGTCTCCCACCAATGTTCCCCACTCCTTGTAAAGAGGATAGGAGCACTGACGTCAGTACTGGAGTCATCGTTCCGGCACGAATAGCATTGACTGGGATTGTGGAACAGCACCGCCGGCAGCCGCGTCCAGACTGGGAAAACCCCATTGTTGGAAACGCAGTGCTCTGACCCTGAATGCGGGTGGAGAATCCATGACGATTGCCCACGTGCCCTCGAGAAGCCGCAAACCGTCTTCCAGAGTCCTCGCCTTCGTTTCCTTTGACCAAGAGTGGACGAGATCCTCCGGCTCCGAGGGTCTAAGGTTCCTATCAAAAGGAACAAATGAACCCTGTGGGCTATATTTCTTGCATACGGTACAAAATGAACATGCATGATTCGATCTCGAGTTTGCCACTGCGAGTCAAGGCGGGACAGTCTGGGTTGTACGATGTGCGTTGGACGTCGCTCCCTCGCCTGGCAAGCCCACGCCTGCTTTAGGCGGAAATGACCGGCTCTTGCGCAGAGACGAGCTTGGCCGTTGACGTGCGGCTGGGGAAAGTGACGCGATACGAGCCCACAAGCCACAGCCAGAAGGCGCCGACGGCTTACTATGTCCACGGCCCTGACGCTGAAGCCGGTGGCAGTGGCTCGCTGAATCGGGGACGCTCGGTGGAGGCCGAGTCGATGGCCAAACAAAGAGCCGGGCGGGCATGATCCAAGCAGGAATCGGCATACCATCAGAAGACATTTCCATTTTTGTTTCCTTGTGTGCTTGTCAAGCTTGCGTGTTGGATGTACATGCAGATACGGGATCCGTAGGGGACCTCTTGGCGTGGAGCCAGCTGTGCTGGGGGGCCAGTCTGGGCCCCCCCTTGCGCCTATCGTTGCCGCATTCTCCATCCGCCCGGCTGGATGTTATCGCCTTTTGCTCACGCTTTTATTTCCGTCGATCTCCGCGTCTTTTTCCTTCCCCGAGCCTCTCCATTGGAGAACACTTTTCCCGACCGTATGTAGCCTACGCACACGCACGCACCGCACCATCACCACCTGTACGCCCTTCCACCCGTGCTTCCTTTCCGCTTTTACTACCTAGGCTAGGCACTACTCCAGCCCGCTCAGGCTCCTGGAATCGAGGCACCCCTGTCCTCCCACACTCTTCTGCCAGGCTACATCATCATTTATTTGGCCCCTCCCGTCTCGTCCGTCCCTTTTCGTCTTTTTAAGAACCACCCTCCCTGTTCCCCCTCCTCCTTCTTTTGCACCTCGACCCTAGCGGCGCTCTTCGACATCTCGCCCATTGTTCATGAGCTTGCTAGTGAGGAATTTCGCGACAGAATCGCACCTGTTCCAAGGAGCAGATCTCGGGACTTAAGAGAAACGCAGGATTAGGCAGTGATACAACCAACCAGTACCAACCTACCACCTACCACCGCACAACCTATCCATCCACCCAAGTACAGCCGCGTTACGACGATCCTTTTCCCCGCCTGAAAGGACGTCATTCGGACTTGAAAACATCGCCGACGCACACCCTCGCGCGACCCAAACGCTACACACGAAGCTAGCACGGCTTAGGCTCAACAAAGGACGCCCAAGCTCCAGCCATTAAACTTACTATCTTGGCCTGCAGTTATATCAGAACAAGTAGACACAATGGAGAGCCTTCACATCGACACCCGTCTCGCCTCCGTTGACGGGCCCCAGTCCCCAAGGGCACCCCCGAAAGAGGTGTCGTACCAAAGGGACTACGGCTCCAACAGAAACGGCGGCACTCCGCGCACTCCCCGGCGATCTCAGACTGTTTACGACTATCAGCCTGCAGGCTTGCCCGATGGCTGGATCATGATGCAAAACGGCTACACACCCCAGGTTCGCGAGAGCCAGGCTGCCGCAGGCCGGATCCCGTCCCCGATCGCCGAGGCACCCCCCGCCGTCGAGGGCGGCGATTCTGATTCCATGTCGGTGACGTCGAGCTCCTCGTCAGACAAGAACTACCAAGTGGCCCCTGCCCCGGAGGCCAATGCACGACCGCGCCGGCCCGCCCTCCCCCCTCCCCGGCGCTCCTACTCAGTCATGGACTATGAGCCTGTTCCATACACCCACCGTCCGTCTGCGGTGCTGGCCCTCATGGATCTTCCCGGCGAGGTGCACTACAACATCTTCGACCACCTCGACTCGATCGATGGCACTTGCCTGGGCCTCACAAACAAGCACTTCTACGCCATACATCGCCGCATGCATGGCACTGTCGCGCTGACCCAGCGCCGCGCGGGCCCCAACGATATGGAGTGGGCCTGGCACCTCGCTGGCAACGTTAAGCACCACGCCAACAGCCCCGTGCCCCGGCCTCCTGCGGACCCTGCCGCAGTGGCCGCCGTGGCTGCCGTAGCCGCAGCGGGAGGAGAGGCGGAGAAGAAGGCGCTCGAGAAGAAGGCGCTGGCCATGCTCCGTGTCCGCGGCCATGCTTACTGCCGAAAGTGCGGCATCTCGCGGTGCGAGCTGCACACGCACATCAAGGATTGGATGGGCGACTCGTACGAGTACTGCAACGTCCGGCAGAAATATGGACCCAAGGCGCCCGAGGGCGTCAAGAGCTTCTGCTACCTGAGCAACCCCAAGAAGCCGGGTCGCTGCGGCCGCCACCGGGTTACGAGACCGCAGTCGACCCCTACACAGACAGATATAATGTCCCCTGTTACTCCCGGGGCGTGATAGCCATTGGGCACGGCTGCCAGGAAGGAAGCATGTTTTTTTTTCCCTCTTACAATCGCAGTTAGCGTGTATTGATTCGCGATGATGGGATGTGATTGTTGTTGGGTTCCTTTCGAGGAATGCTCCGATCCTTTGGATATGGGTCGATGGCCCAAGGGTCTTCAAGCAGGCGTTCATTTGATACAGGAGGACTTTGAGTTATGGATGGCCGGTCTCGTCGCCAAAACTGGGCGATGGTAGCGGTCGCGCGCTGAGTTTTATGTTTCTGGCTGTAAAATCGTAATCTTTGGCAGGGAGGGGCGCATGAGTATCACATGGAGAATTTGGGTTTCTGGTCAGATGGAGTTGCATTTTCGTTGGGTACCGCCGACGATTTAACGACACTTTCATCACGATCTCGGCACGGAACTTGGGCAAACATGGTCATTTTATTCCCATTTGCATTGCGCTTCAGCACAAGCCTACAGCCTATATGTGCGATATTTGCCATGTGCCATGTAGAGCAGCCCTCGGGCGATGTTGCAAGTGCTATTTTGTTGGGAATGGCTTCCGACTAACTGGTCTGTCCCCGACTGCCCGATGCTTAGGGCCCTCGATAGGTTCGTCGCTAGCATCCAAAAAAGCAGAGCTCGGCCCGCATGGTTGACGCAAGCGTGTCATGCGTCGGAGTCGGTTCTCGAGAGCGGGAACGTTGAAAACATCTCCTGATACCAAAAGGCGCCGCCGCCCATTGTTCACTAGCTGAACTGAGCGCGCCCGTCTGGTTGCGGGCAGATCATGCGTCATGCCGGGGATAAGGGGTGCTGGGTGGGTAACGGATTGGTCTTGCCTGGTTGCCAAAGTAATCTGGCGTGCTGGCGCTTTCTGGTCTGCAAGCTGGTTCGTTCGGAGTTGTGTGACCTCTGTGCCTCCATACTGGTTCGGGGGTTGATGTGCATATTTGAGCTACCTAATGAAGTCATGAGGTCCAAGTTGTGCATCCTTGGGTGCGCCTCACAAGCAGGTCTGTTGGCACAAGTTGGAATGGACCGCAAGCGCCAATGACGTTCACGTGATTTGCACGTGGAGGTGATCTGCTTGTATATTCCATCATTTGCCAAGCTGATCTTGATTTTGTTTGGCACGCCACGCACGCACGCCATTGGCCTTCACAGCGAGCACTGCCGGCGTCATGACGCCACTTTTTATTTTGTGATTTTTGTGATTTTTTTCTTTGTGTCTGTCGTCTGTCTACCCGCCCCTTGATTTACGAGAACCAGAATTCCAACACAATTTGTCGCTTCGGAAGGCAGGGGTATGGAGGACGCGGGAAATCAATGGAGGGGGCCCCTATTTTCTTTGTTCCATCGCTCCTCCCTCCCCAGTGTACCCTCTTTTTATTTTATCAGGATCCGGACAACTGGCCTACCCATGCCTCCACACTTTGATGTCTTGTCTAGAGCAAATAAGAGTAGCACAGTTCGCACCCGTACATATTTTTTGCCATCTGCTATCTGACGTAGCACATGTTGGTCCATGTGCCCTCCCTTTGGTCCCGCGCACTTCTTGTGAATAAAAAAAAAGCCACAGCGACTGGGAAGACACGTCTCGACACCAATGGTGGCGCCTTCCTGGTAGCGCACAGAAAAGCCCACCGACACAAACTGCAGCTACAGCTTCCACCCGGCCCCAGCCTGTTCAGCTGCGTCGTCGACTCGACGGCTTCGATACGATTCCAACAAGCCCCCATCGAACCCACCTGATCCGCGCCGTCTCCCCCATCTGATATTCTGTAGTCCGCCCCGACAACGCAGCCGAGGGAAGAACACCAGCCGTCGACGCACATGATTCTACACGGCACGCGGCCCTCGCCATCTTGAGCCAACAAGCGCCAACCCGCCAGCCACGCTTGACGGAGAGCCTCGGCCCATCCGTCCTGAAGCTCAGCAGCACAGAGAGACGATCGACCTTCGACTGGCCGGTCCCCAGGCAGGCGCCGTCTCCTGGACTGGACGTCTGGAGCCCCCCCTCCGGCCGACCCCTTTAAGACCACACTCCCCGAGCAAGTCATGTCATCAGCGGCTGCCTCAGGGGCCGCCGGCCACACCAGCAAACGCAAGCGCGCCGCCGGCGGAAGCACCAGCTCGATCCCCGACAACGTCGTTGCCGACATGGCGCAGGCATCGGAGTCGCGCGACGCCTCGGCCGAGGAGGGCGACACAACGGCCGCCGAGACCTCCGGGTCGCCACACGCCGTGCGCACCAAGTCCGGGTTCTCGTCCTCGAACCAGCCGCCGATCAAGCGTCAGCGGTCGGGCAACCCCTCGGGTGACGGCGCCGCCGACATGGGCGAACCCAGCGACACCACCGAGGGCAGCACCGACATTGTCCAGCGCGTTTCCCACAAGAACGGCAGGAAGGCCGCGCCCGGCGGTGCGGACGACGTTGCGGACGAGCCCGAGCCGGAACCCGAAGAGTCCATGGCACCGCCGCCCATCGGACAGCTCACCCACCCCGTCGGGTACCGCACCAACGACCCTCCCGTCGGCAGGGCTGTCAGAGTCTACGCGGACGGTGTCTTCGACCTGTTTCATCTGGGGTACGTGTGTCCTATGCTGTTGGTATCGATAATGCGTGGTTAGCTTTGTCCGTTTATTGGGGTTGCTGGTGACGCTGACCTGGTTCGTGGCGTTTTCCTCTTCAGTCATATGCGGCAGCTCGAGCAGGCCAAGAAGGCATTCCCCGACGTCTACCTGATCGTCGGCGTTACAGGCGACATGGAGACGCATATGCGCAAAGGTCTGACGGTGCTCTCGGGCAAGGAGCGTGCCGAGACTGTGCGACACTGCAAGTGGGTAGACGAGGTGATCGAGAATTGCCCCTGGATCGTTACCCCCGAGTTCCTGGACGAGCACCAGATCGACTACGTCGCACACGACGACATTCCCTACGGCGCAGACGAGGGCGACGACATCTACCAGCCCATCAAGGCCGAGGGCAAGTTTCTTGTGACGCAGAGGACCGAAGGTGTCAGCACGACGGGCATCATCACAAAGTAGGTCCCACTGCCCCGTAGACATAGCCCCTGTTTGCGTGCGACTTGAGCGAGTACTTACAGATGGCACTGCCTCTAGGATCGTCCGAGACTACGAGAAGTACATCTCAAGGCAACTGAAGAGGGGCACGTCGCGGCAGGAGCTCAACGTGAGCTGGCTCAAGAAGAATGAGCTGGACTTGAAGCGGCACGTCCAGGACCTGCGCGAGAACATCCGCTCGAACTGGACAACAACCGGACAGGAGCTCAGCCGTGAGCTGCGCCAGTACTGGCCTAACAGCCGACCGCAGAGTCCCGCGCCGCAGAGGCCGTCGCTGCATGTTCCTAACGGGGACCTGCTGACCAGCCCGCAGCCGCCCCAGCTCCGCTCGCCGACTACTCCCGGAACCAGCAACGATTTTGTTGCCGGCTACGCCGTCGGCCTGATTGGAGGTGTCAGGTCATGGGTAAGTGAACTCCTGATGGCGACTTTTCTCAGCTTGGCCTTCAAATCTCGTTTAAGCGCGTCGGATTGGGTACCCGCTGCGTAGCCCTCCGTGTTGGCCCCCATCACCGCCTCCACACCGCATGCCAGCATCTTCGTGTTGCCTATTGCGCCCTGTCGAGAGGGTTTGCCTTGCTAACAGCCTGGCGGCCATGCAGATGACCAAGAGCCGTAGAAACTTGGACAGAGACGACTCCACCTCATCACGGGTCCCCAGCGACGACGAGTCTGAAGAGAGCGAGGGCAAACTGAAGGCCCCGCAACCGCGCCGGGTCATCCCGCCTGATGCAGCGACATCCTCCACTGCCGTTTAAGTCGAGTCGTCCCATTTTTTTTGTTAGCTGCGCCTTGTCGGGGCCGCCTTTGGTGGCCTCGGTTGGGGCCTGGCCTTGACCTTGGCCTGGGGCTGGGTCACCTGGCTCGACCCAATGCGGGGGCAGCGATCACCAAACACCAAACATATCACTCGTGCTGGGCGGAACCCTCCGTCTGCCGTCTGGATTCCGGCGTGGCGTAGTAGCACTTCCTTACTCTGACATCTTCCTTTGAGGGCATCGCCATTTTCGCCCCTCATCTTATCATTAATATCCACCCACTACCCCTTTACTTTTACTTAGGTATCATTCGGTATCATGGCATCTGGCCATGGGATACATGGGCTGGTAGATCCGGCCACCCGATTAGTTGGAACAGTCCTTGTTATCCTTGGGAGACGGGGGCGGAACAATGCTGATTGTGCCTTGACCGTTTGCGGGGCTGGCATAGACCTATCACACATTCGCTCACACCCCTAGATGTACACGCGTAGTATGGGACAGGGAAGGTTAACCGTTACTCGGGCTATGCGCTATCTGCCACTTTTGGGCGGGCATTGGCAGGTCGGTCAGCCACGAGGCGTTTTGGGCGTACACGTGCTCTTCGATACAGAATAAGAAACAGGCTTGATCTGAGAAGTGTTGGGTCTGGTCCTAATGTGACTCTATACGTAAAAACCTCTTCACCGTATGTTGTGCGGCATCGTCGATGCTCGTGAGCACGTGGACAGGGATGGTTGAAATAGGTACTGCCAAGCATGGATGCCTACAGCTAAGGTGATGATCAAAAGATGGTATCTCGATCACGGAAAGCTGGCAATCCTCGAGGCTGAGCCCCACGCATCTCTCTCCATAGCCTCCGCAACTTGGCTCACGGAGACGTGTTTATCGTTGCATTTTTGCCTTTGTTTGGGGGCCTTTTTCAACCAAACATCCATCTCCAGAGCTCGACGCGCCGGCCAGCGTGTTTGGGCATGGTCTGGGACATGTGGTACGAGGGGCAGGTTTGGATTTCTACGGCCCCCATGAGTCGCTACCGCCCACGACTTCAACACATCGCAGAGGCTCACAAGCAAGACCCCCTAGGGTTTGCTGAATAAGTTGGGGGTCTCTAGTCTAGAGGCGCGGGTGCGTTCAAGGCTCCCTAACCTTGAAGGAAGGGGGTGTTCGCCGAAGTGGCATGTTGGTCTAGCCCGACCGAGCCGCCCCCGTGTTCTGCAATCTGGGACTAGGCACCGCCGTTGGGTTTTTCCCCCTTCTCTCTAGTCTTGTTTCTATGTATCGGAGGTGCCGTCATTGGGGAAGAACAGCCGCTGTTTCAAGTTTTGATGTAACTACCCCGTATTGGCTACTTCGGCTCTTTGAGCCGAGGCAAGGGGCCGGGCCACTCCTCTACTACCTCTACCACCACCACCACCACCACCACCATTGCCATACCCTCCGCACTAATCCACGAAACCCTGCGACATCGGTGCGCCCAGGTCTCGACAGGCAGGCTGTGCGTGCGTGTGTGTGTGCAGGGGCTGCTGCCGCCCGCTGCTGGCCGTTGGGGACATGGCCATCCCATGGGGGCCAGGGGTGGGATCCTCGTCCCCCACGCGCCCGAGGACGGGGGACGGGACCGAGGCGCCGAGGCGCCTATCTTTTGCTTGTTTTGGGAAGAGTTGGCGGGAGGGGGCTCAGTCAACGGCTCCGAGCCGAAGCTAGAACAAAAAAGAAGTAGAAGGCCCGTTTACGCGGAGAGAAAAAAAAGGGAAAGGAGGGAAGAAAG